CATCTTGGCCAAGCGCAAAGCCGCAGCCGCCGCTGTCTTGCTGGTCGAACGCGCGGCCGCGGCGGCCGTGGCCCGGGGCGCCAGCGGGGCGTCTGCGCGGGGGCCCCAGATCTGCAGCGCCATCTGCTCGGCGTCGTTGCTGGCTGCCTCGTCCCGTGGCCAGGCGCGCCCGCGCGCCGTGGCCCCCCGGCCGCGTGTGCATGCGCGCTCGGCGCATGCCCAGCTGCTGCCGGCGGGGCACTCTGGGCCGGCGGGATGTATGCCTGCTGCCCCTGCTCTGGCTGCCTTGCCGCTGGCGCCCGCGCCTCGGCTGCCTCCGGGCGCGGCCCTCGCCCCGCGGGGCTCGGTCTCGCCACGCAGCGCGCCGGGTTCTGCATCGACCGCCTCTCCAAGTGGACTCTTTGTAGTCGTCGCTTTCCGCGATGGCTTTTGCAGCCTCCTCGGTGGCCCACCGCAAGCAGCGGGCCGCGGCGGCGGCGGCCGCCCCCAGCTGCGCCGCGACGGCTCGCGCGTCGCGCGCGGCCCGAGTGCGCGGCGGGCCGCGCGGGCACGGGCCGCGAGGCTTGAATCAAGGAAAAGAAGAAGAGAGAAGGGCAGAGGGGCAGAGGAAGGGCACCGCCCGCCCGCGCGCGAACCGAGCATCCGCGAGCGGCCCGCGCGCGGCGCTGACAGACGGGGACAGGCCCGCGTTAGAACGCCCACCGCGCGCCTGGGGCATGCAAGCAGCGGCCAAACCGTCGGCGGCAGCGGCGCCCAGGCGGGCCAGGCCCTCGGCGCTCGCCGCGCGCCCCCAGGAAGATGCGCAAGTCGGCGGCGGGCATGCCCTCGACGAAGTCGACGGATGCGCCCGCGCGGGCTGATGATCTTCACCGCGACCGGCAGCGCCATAATCTGCGCGATCAACTTCGCGCGCGCGGCCGCGTCCGAGCCAGCCCCCAGGCGACGCCGCGAGGCCAGCCTCGGCCTGCGCCGAGGGCCACGCCGCAGGGGCCGCAGCCGCCGCCACCGCGGGCGTCGCAGGCGCCGGGGGGGCAGCGGCCGCCGCGGCGGCCCGAGGCTGGCCGGCGAGAGGAGCATCGCCGTCGGCAGCGTCGCGTCGCAGGCCACCGGCCCACTCGACATGTCGTCCTCGTCTATGGCGCCCGCCGCAACAGCCGCCGAACGCTTCGCCTCCGCCAGACGCCAGCGGCGGCGGCGTCTCGGCGGCGGCGTCTCCGAAGGATCTTGCTCATGTCATCGCCCTTGCTCTTGTCCTCGGAGTCGCCCATATCTTGGACCTCGGCGCAGGCGCCCCCAACGCGCCCAGAGCCCGCGGGCGGCGGCGACGGCGCAGCGCGCGCTGGGAGCACAGCTGCAGCAATCGGACGAGTCAGGGCGGCGATCGCGCGCCTGGCGCTCTTCGCCAGGATCGCCGCGCGGACGGCCGCGTCCACGACGTCGGCGCCGCTCGGCGCAGCAGGAGAAACCCCGCCCAGGCACCGCCATCGCGCGCAAAAAAACACGGGGCGGCACGCAACGCGGTCGCCTGAGCCCAGACGGGAGGAGGAGCCGGAGTCGGACTCGGATACCTCGGGAGTCCGGAACCCCTGGAGACATCATCTCCAGGACTCCGAGGCTCCGGTGAGCCATTTACCGCCGGCGGGCTGATCGGCGCCCGAAGGGAACGCCCGCGGGACCTCTTGCTTTTTATCCCTTATGGCCCGCGTCGGCGCGAAGCTTGACCCACGGCCACGCGCAATGCAATGAAGGGTCAGGCGGGGGCTCGTGGCCCCGTGGCCCCTCGGCCCCGGCTTGGGCTACACAGCCCCAATTGGATGCGAAACCCTCCAATCCCCCGCTCCCACTCTCCAAACCGCCCCCCCCCCCCCCAGTCACGAGTCTTTCGCGTGGTTTCTGCAGTCAGCGAAAGAAAACTCGGCCCGCGCGGGGCCCAGAGACGTCCCGAGCGGGACAAACTTCGGCCAACGAGAAGAAAGGATCTTGCTATTTCACACGTTGCGGGGCCTCACGCTGGCGCACCCTGGCTCCTCTACGGGGCGATCCCTGGCACCTCTACGCTGCGGCACCCCGCTGCTGCTCTAGACTCTATCACACTTGCTACTGCATCTGCGATCTTCCCGCCCAAAAAAACTAATGGGTGGTTCCTGTCATTAACTAGATACCGCTCCTCCGTTGCTGCTGCGCTAACAGCTCAGCCGCGCGCGCGTTTCCCTGCTGATCCATGCGGCGAGGTCTTTGGACCAGTCCTGCATCCGAGCTCCAAGCAACATTCCGCTCCGATGTGGAAATGCGGTGAGCCCATCGTCTTGTTGCCTTGCTATTTGACCTCCTCCGCGTAGGTGACCCTTGCCGTTGCCGATGCGCCCGCCGCCACGTTGCCCCCTTGGACAAAAACAAAGTCCCACATGCTGCCCGACACATGCCGTATCATCTGAACGTGGTTCAGCGTGAACTTCTCCAGCAGGATGGTGTCTAACCCGACGGCGTCGCCTGACGAACCAGTCTCTTTTGCCAGCGCCTCTCTGCTGGGATCCACGCTGCTGCTTGGCCTTCGGCGCCGCCTCGCTGGCTGCTACCTCCGCAGTGTTGCTGCGGGGCCGAGTCACTCCCGCGGCGGTCGCTCTCCACGACATGGTCGGGGCATGGGACGTGTGTGGCAGCGTGAAAAAGTTGTGCCGCAAACTCTGCGTCTTCTTGCTCGCAAGCGCCACAAGCGTAAATGTCTTGTCCTTCAGCCTGGAATGCAAATCGCACCAGAGAAAAACCATAATCAATTGGTTTGTCCTTCAGCCTGACATTCAAATCACACCAGAGAAGAAACCCAATCAGTGGATGGTTTGAACAATTGAGAGATCGATCGTGGGATCGATGATGAGCTCGATCGTGGCATACCGAAATCGGCCAGGAACGAAAAACTAAAAACCCAAGAACCCGGAACTGGGAACCCAAGAACCCAGCCGGCTACCGAAATCGGACCGGGACTTTCGCCAAACAGTGGATGGATGGTTTGAGAATTAGTGATATGGAAATTAAGATCAGTTGTGAGATCGATCGTGAGATCGATTGTGGGATCGATTGTGAGGACAATAGTAAGGTCGATCGTGGGACCGATAGTGAAATCGATTCAGGGAAATCGATCGTGAGACCGCTCGTGCGATCTATAATGAGATCGATTGTGAGATCGATTGAAAAATCGATTGTGAGATCGATTATGAGATCGATCGAGACATGGGTAATGAGATCGATGGTGACACCGATCGATGAAAAGATCGATCAAAATTCTGGAAACCGGGAACCTGGAAACCCTGCCGCCCACCGAAATCGGCCCGGAACCAACAACCGGGAACAGGGGAACCCGCAACCCGGGAACTGGGGTACCCGACCGCCTGCCGAAATCGGCCCCGTACTTTCGCCGAATCTTTCAATCTCCGCTAGGACCCTGATCAGGAAATCTCCACTAAGGCCCCTTCAGTGCAAAAGCTGATTGGGGAATAATGAGACCGTGGGACCGGTAGTGGGGATCAATAGTGTGAGGACGATAATGACATCGATCGTGAGACCGATAGGTAAGTCGATTCAGTGAGATCGCTAATGAGATCGATCGTTAGATCGCCCGTGCGATCTATCGTCATGTCGATGCTGAAACGATTGTGATACCGATTGTGAGATCGATCGACAGGGAGGATGATAAAAAAGATCGATGGTCGATGGTGAGACCGATCGGTAAAGAGATCGGCGAAGAAACCAAGAATCCAGAAATCCGGGAACCCCGCCTCAAGGCCCCGTAAACCCAGACACGCTAGACCTGGACACCCAACATCCCTCGAAACCATTTTCTCCAGACAGCGGCACGAGCGAAAGACTGCACTGCAGCATTTCCAGAATAAACCCGGACACAGGCCCTAAAAGCCTGCAACACCCCCCCAACCCCGGCCACAAACCCGAATCATGCAGTGTAGCAAACAAAAAATGCACGGGTTCTGAAAAATGTGACTTTGCAGAAAAAGGTGTCGATTCCTTGGTTTTCCGTGTCCTGGTTTTTTATTTATGTGTCCTGGTCTCTGGGGGCCTGACCGCCGTCTACCGAAATCGGTCCGGAAACAACAACCGGGCACCCGGGAAGCAGGAACTGGGTACCCAGGAACCCGGCCGCCCGCCGAAATCGGCCCGGTACTTTCGCCAAATCTTTCAATTATCTCCGCTAAGACCCCTTGAGTGCAAGCTCTGATTGGAGAAAGATGTGGCTCGAGTTGGGCAGCGCAGCAGGGAGGATTTAGACATAGTGATGGCGTGTCGGAAGCAACTCGCTCAGCTCGCGAAAGGGGTCCTATATCATGGACAACCGCTCGCGCGCACGATCATTGAGTGAAGGTTCCTCAAATTGTGCGAGTGCGTCATGTGTGCTGTACGTGCTTTGCTCGTAGGGGAAGGCATGTCATCCGTCTCGTGCGTACACACGCACTCGTCAACTATGGTGCTGGCGTCATCGTTGCTCTCTTCGCCGTGCTCGTGTTCTGTGATGTTCACGTCCGCGCTGTTCCTGGTCGTGATTACTCGTCGTGCTAGAAAATGCCCTGCTTTGCGTGCTCCGTCAATACTTAAGAAATGCCTCATGGAACCCGCGTGGGTCTTGCTAAACTCATTGCTGGTTTCTGAGTCCTGCAAGAACATCGGGAGGTTCTAACGGTCCCCCGAGGTCTCATCATAATCCCCGTCCACGTTCGCTACCGCCTCGAGATGTGCGAGGAGGAAGAGGACGACGACGAGGGAGAGGAGGATGGGGGAGGATGGGGGAGGAGGGGGAGGATGAGGGAGATGAGCAGGATGAGGACGTCTACGACAACGACCATGAAAACGATCACGAATCACAGTACTAATGACAATTCGTGTAACAGTAACCATCATACTCGTGACAATAATAATGCGAATGATAAGGACAGGAAGAGGAATACGGCGACAACGACGACGTCGGCGGACCGCGACGCTACGGGGCCAGCGGCCGAGGCCGAGTCGTCCGCTCCAGGGCCGCTCTCCGAGGCGGAATCGTCCGTGGTGTCCTGCGCGCACTGCGGGCTGGAGGAGCGGCAGCGGTGCCGATGGCCGAGGGGGCGGGGCGGAGGATGGCCCGATCGAGGTTCCGTTTTCTGGTCGGCGGTGTTGTGCCGGAAGGTGGGAAAGCGAGGACCATGACCAAGACTGAACGCGGAAACGTTCTGCCCATTTTTTTTTTTTTTTTCAAGGGCCCCTTCCCCCCCATTGTTCAAGGTTTAGCGCCTGCCACACACGTCGACAAGCACGGTGCCGCCTCGATTGTATTCGGAGCCTGGCTTCAAATTGCTGCTGCGGAGTGCCAGGAAGACCATATCGAACTGAAGAGTGCATACTGAGAAAGGCATCACATAGCATAGAACTTAAAAGACGCTGGTCAGGACCCATCCCACGAAAAAAGAGGTAGAGGTGGAGCCAGGGCGAACCCTCAGGAGACCCAGAAGAACAGGGAGCCCAAGAGCCCATCCAATGCGAGAACAACTGCTGGAGCCTGGGGCACACGAGGTAGTGGTGCATGTCATCTAAGTCGGTCGGGGACGTCGGAGAACTAGGGCACCCAAGAAGACAGCCTCGAGGGGAAGCGTGAAATCGAGCACTAGTGCAAATACACCTGGAGAGCATACGTAGGTTGGCCAACAGGATGTAAGGACTGGACTGACGGGCCAGGGCTTTGATGACTTTGCAAACCCAGACGATGTCCGAAAGGGAGACCGCAGGGATCCAAGCACAGGCACGCCGAAGGAGAGCTTCATGAGGGGTGACGGCGGGACAGTGAAAGCGCCTCAGCGCACGCATATACTGCTTCTGTACATCCTTACGCTCATACAAAATCTGGAAGCCGTGGGATGCAACTTCGTCCTGGAAGGTGAACAAGTGAGTGAGGAAACTATTCACGTACCAGCCGCGCCGCTGCCGATATGGGCACCAATCATCATCTTCAAAAATCCGAGCGACTTGGTCACGGATCCGAGGCAGCTCATCACAACGTGCAATGTATCTCGCCCGAGTAGCATCTGCCACAAGCGAGAGCCGAGGGAACTCAATAGGGAACCCATAAACACAAAGGTGGGTACACATGTCGTAAGATAGCGCATTGTTAGGGCCAGCAGAGAGAAACGTTCTGCCCATCTTGGTCAGCGTCAACTCGCGGAAAATTCTCGCGAATTGGCCACGGCCGGCAAAAACCATGACCAAGATCAACGTCGGCAAGATCCCGCGACATCTTGGTCATAGTTCCCGTGTTCCTTGCCTCGATGTACCCTCTCGTGCGCGTCTAAGAGGCTCCGCGTCGCCACGGCTGGCAAGGAAGCGCCGCAGGAAGGTTCCAGACGCCTCGCGTCTCGAGGTCTGTTTTTGATGGCTCTTCGTCTTTTCTGGGCCTCCTGGGGTGCTGTCGTCAGGAATCCAATCCTGGTCAAACCTAACTCGCCCACACTACACAGAGATCCGACAATCGATGCTTGACGCGGGGCCCACACCGCCATAACATTGTTTGTTTGATTGTTCGGCCTCTGGGGACCCTTGCTGGTCCTCAGGACCGCCTGAAAACGACTCGGGGTGAAAAGCTAATGAGGGCACCACTACGGCCCAAGAGAGCCCCAAGACGGTGTGAGAGGGCCCCAAGACGGCCCAAGAGGGCCCCAAGCCCCAAGGGATCCCCCAAGACTGCCCCACAGGAAGCCAAGGCGGCCCAAACAAGCGCCACCATCAGAATCATCAGCATCATCATCATCATCAGCAGCATCAGCAGCATCAGCATCAGCATCACCATGATCATCGTGGTCATCATCATCATCATCATCATCATCATCATCATCACCATCATCATCAGCAGCATACTATCCATCAGCATCATCAGCATCATCATCATCGTGATCGTCATCGTCGTAATCGACATCGTCATCAGCAGCATCAGCATCAGCATCAGCAGCATTATCACCATCATCGTCGACATCATCAGCATCGTCATCATCGTCATCATCATCAGCATCATCACCATCATCGTCACCATCGTCAGCATCGCCATCATCATCAACATCACCTCATCATCACCATACTCATCAGCCTCATGAGCATCATCATCATAAGTAGCATCGTCATCGTCATCGTCACCGTCATCGTCATCAGCATCATTAGCATCGTCATCATCAACACGTTCAGCACCGCCACCATCATCATCATCATCATCATCATCATCATCATCATCAGCATGATCATCATCACGACTCATCGTCCTCATCATCACCACCATCGTCATCGCCAACATCGTCATCAAGATTACCATCACCATCACCATGATCACCACCATCATCAGCAGCATCAGCATCATCATCACCATCATCATCATCAGCATCAGCATAATCATCATCATCATCATCATCAGCATCATCATCATCATCATCATCATCATCATCATCATTATTATTGTTATCATTATCATCAGAGTCATCAACACCATTATCGCAATCAGCATCACATTGTCAGCAGCAGCATTGCCATCACCCCCATCATCATCATAGTCCTCGTCATCCTCATCACGGCTCCCCCAAACCTGGAGACACGATGCGTCACACGTGACGGCCTCCCATGCCCCCTCGAACAATCGCCACGCAGAAAGCTGGGCTGGCACGGTGGTGGGACTTGCCGCAGGCAACTGGATATATATATATATATATATATATATATATATATATGCATATATATGCATATATACATAGATAGATGCCTGGGACCTGGCCTATTCCCCCCCCTGCTAAAACAGAGCTGTTTGGTACCCCCCGCAGGGGTCTACCTCATTATGCCTTTTATGTTTCGCCTCGTCATGCATTCCTTGTTCGTCTTCTCGCCCTGGACAACCAGACGACCAGACGAGAGGTTGTGAGGTTGTGCTGTGATGTGTTATGTTATGTTGCTGTGAGGCTCTGTTAGGTTGTGTTGTGGTGTGTTATGTAAGGTTGTTAGGTGTGAGGTTGTGTTGTGTTATGTTGCTCCCGCCTGAGAGGCTACCAATCTTTTTACTCATAAGGAAGATCCCGCCTGAGAGGTCCCAACACAAATCATCAAAATCAAGCTCCTGCCTGAGAGATCCCCCAAAAAAAACGAAGAAATCCAAGAGCCACCCCTCTCATCCTTGTAACTGTCCCACAAAAAAACAAATTCCAGAGGAGAACTCCTGAGGAAACGGGGGGGAGCAGGAGTTCTCCTCTGGAACTTTAGGATTTTTTGGGACAGTTACAAGGATGAGAGGGGTGGCTCTTGGATTTCTTTTGTTTTTTTTGAAACCTCTCAGGCGGGAGCCTGACTTTGATGATTTGTTTGTTGGGACCTCTCAGGCCGGAGTTTCCCTTTGATTTTTCAAACGCGTTGTTTGGGCGTTAGTAAAGGCGGAGGAGGAGTGGGAGAAGGAGGAGGAAAGAGAGGAGTGGGAGGAGGAGGAGGAGGAGAAGGAGGAGGAGAGGGAGGAGGAGGAGGAGGAGGAGGAGGAGGGGGAGGAGGGAGGAGGGAGGATGGAGGAGGAGGAGGAGAGAGGAGGAGGGGGTCGTCGTTGCCGCAGCCGCTGCATTGGTTTAGTTCTCGATTGACTCTTTAAGTGACAATCATCCCGAATGCAATCCATTCGACTGCAATCAAACCGATTATGATCCAATCGATCGCCAGCCCAGGGGTTTGCACGGGCTCTGTTCAGAATCGCTTCCACCAGAAGCGACTGCAATCATGTGGGTTGCATTTGTTTGCTACGCATTGCAGTCAAATCGACTGCATTGAAACCGACTGCAGCCATATACTCCTCCTCATACGTCTCAACTTCCTCCTCCTCATCGTACGCCTAATTATCCTTCTTGCCAAGGGTTTCACTAGGACTCCTTCTGTGGAGGATTTCGCTAGAGATCTTTCTGTGCAGGATTTCAATACGAATCCTTGTTGATGATTGCGCTAAGAATCTTTATGTGCGGGGTTGAACAAAGAATCCTTCTGTGGATGATTTCACTCGGAATCTTCCGTGCGGGATTTCAACTAGGAATCCTTCTGTGGAGGATTTCAAAACGAATCCTTTTGTCGAGAATTATAACAGGAACCCTTCTGTAGAAGATTTCAGTAGGAATCCTTCTATTGCGGATTTCCTCCCTCCGCCTCCTTCACCTCATCCACTTTATCTTCCTCCTCCTCCTCATCCGCCTTCGTTTGAAGGGTTTCACTAGGAATCCTTATGTGGAGAATTTCAGCTGGAACCCTTATGTGGAGGATTTCAAGTGGAATATTTCTGGAGAGGATGTCAATAGGAATCCTTCTTGTGAAGGCTTTCAAACAGAATCCTTCTGAGGAGGATTTCAATGGAAATCCGTCTTGTGGGAAGTTCTACTAGAAATCCTGTTGGGAAGGATTTCAATAAGAATCCTTGCATCGAGGGCAATAGGAATCCTTCCACTGAGGCCAATTGGAGACCCTGCGAACGACAGCGAAAACTCTTGGCCCCTGGACCCCTCCCGGGGTCTTTTTTTGGGGGGGGAGGTTTGGAGGTCCTTTCATCAAGGCTCTGCTCGTCGTCATCGCCGCTGCTACCCTCGGTACATCTCTGAGGTACTTCTTCTGAGGTGCGCCGCTGCTCCCCGCATGGTAGATTTCTCGCCGCCGGCCGTCTTAGGCGCTCGCCGTCTTCCGATAGCTTGTCGCCGGCGCCCCGTGGAAGCCCCCTGGAGCCCCCCAGAGGCCCGAGTGGACCCCTCCCGGGGTCTGCACCCACTTATGTTCCGAGCCGCGCCCAGCCGCAGCGACGGGCCCCCCCCCCCAGGCCGACTGTCAATGTCTCAAGGCGGCCTCCGCGGAGAAAGCCCCAGAAATCCGAAGCTCCGAGACAAATGGAAAAGCCGGCCTTTGACAATGCTTGCCTTCTCGCGCCCCCCTGCGGGGCTCCTCCTCGCCAGTTTTTCGCGACGCGCTCAGTCGCGGCCACGGGGGGTCCAACCCGAGAGCCAGGAAACCTCGAACCTGGACCCTCCTGCCCAGACATCCGCCGCTCTCCCGGGCCACGAAACCTCCTCGCGCCGCTGGAAAATCCGCCGACCCCTTCGCGGCTTCCAGGCGTGTGAGATTCTGCCTCGTCAAAGAAGACCCCCTTCTATGGTCTCCCCCACAAGGCAAACTACATGTTTTCTGCGACTGCCACTATGGCATACTGTACGGCTGGTCCTTCCTCCGAGGAAAAGCCATTCCACCTCCGGCGCAATTACAATATAGCCTACTGTCAACTTACGGGTGCATTCATCTCCTGCTACATTGCACCATGGCCTACTGTCAACTGGTGGGACGCCGATACCTGGGCGGATGTCTGCGAATTCGTGACGACGACTGGCGGTGTTTAGCGAGAACCTCCCCCGCGGTTTGGCGTTTTCGCACCGCCATCCTACTGTGTGGAATCAGGTCCCGCTCGAATTGCGAAGGAAATTTCAAGCGAAACGCTCGATTTCTAACTGTTCGGCACCGATTTCTATTGTTTCGAACCGCTTTGGAACCGTCAATGGACTACGTACGTTCTGCGGGGAATGTCCTATGCGGTTTGCCGTTTTGGAACCATCCATTTTTTTCGAACCAAGTCGGACGCCTGATTGTGGAGGAAATTCCACGCGAAACGTTCGTGTTGTTTTGGTTCGAAGCTGATTGGAGACTTCGCAAAACTAACGCAAACTCACCGCGAAGAAATGCAGGCTCACCAAAACAAGGACACAAACATCCGCCAAGACATCCAGAAACAATTCCAAAACACTCTGCGCACATAAAAAACGAACCCAATGAAATGAAAAGAAATCGGCGGCAAACGCAGCAACCTTTGAATAACGGAAAACGCACGTCGGGAAACAACCATCGGAAACCAGAAAACGGAGACCAAATGACGGACGACGGAAAACGGACACCGGAAACTGGACACCACGATTGGAGACTGGAAAATGAGAATCAAACAACTAACAACAAACAACAAATATACAAACATCGGAACACAAACAATGGGAACTGACAACGGACAACAACAAAACAAAAAAAACGGAAATAATAACACGTTGACCAAAATACGGATCCGGAACATAGAAACTCAACAACGGAAATCAAAAAACGGAAAACGAAAACCCGGAACCGCAAAACATAAACCAAACAACGACATCCGGAAAACAAAATACGAAAACTGAAAATAAACGCCAGAAGCTGAAACCAGAAAACGGAAACGGAAAAGGACTTCGGTTTTGCGCTCTGAAAATGAATTTCCCTTTCCAATTTTAGTATGGCGCGCCCGCTGACCGGAACCATCTGCGGATGTATTCTGACGCTAGAGTCCCATGTTCACTTCGAGCAGCGCGCAGTCGTCGTGCTAACCTAAGGAACGCCAAATAGATAATGAAGGGGCTTGTCTGGTCACGGCGAGCCTCGGCCAAGAACAGGCTCCCCGATCTAGATCTAAGGAACGGTTCGAAAACAAGAGCCTCTCCCGAGCCCACAGGTGTCCTTAGTTCAGCGTTTTGACTGTATTCTTCTCGTCGGGGATTCAGCTCTTCTTTGCTTCCCCCCACCCTCGATCTCACACACGCGGTGGTACCAATTCATGGCACGGCCACGCGTGCCGAAAACATGGAAAGCACGAAACACACCGGGCCAAACCAGGAGGGAAGCCGCTAATGACCATGGCATGACCTGAGCGGCGAAAAGAAACGAGTCTTACGCGAGATGGCATAGCGACCTTGCGCGGTGGCTTACGCGGGACGCCAGCGCGGCACGCTGAACTGGAAACGAAGGCGCTCACGCGCGGCCTTACCAGGGCAACTTCGCGCGAATGTCGGCACAATCGACCTGGTTCTCTTTCGTCGCCAACCGCTAACCCGGGAACCCGTGGTCCATGGATACAAACGCCGGTGCCGCATCGAGAGCTGCGACAATCACAGGTATGCACCATCTGCTCGCAAGATGCACGTCATGGCTAATGATTATTTGGCCACGGGGCTGTCGCTGCAGAAGCCCGCTCTTCCTGCTCCTCCTGCTCCGCCGATACGATTGATCCCAGGGAATCCCAGTGCTCCTCCTCCTCTTCCTGCTCCTCCTCGTACTCGTTCTTCTCCTCCTCTCCGCCGCCTCCTCCTCCTTCTTGCCCAATCCCCTCCTCGTCCTCATCCCTCCTCCCTCCGTTCTCCATCCCTCCCTCCCTCCCTCCATCTCCCCACCTCTGCTTCGAATCCATCTTCATCTTTCTACCCATCCATCCTCCCATGCCGTCCTCATCCCCTTCCTCTTTTCCTTCTTCCATTCCCTCCTCAATCTCCTCCTCGTCGTCCTCCTCCCCTTCCCCATCATTTCCCTCTCTTCCCCTTTCACCCCGCTCCATCTCCTGCTCCGCCCGGCCTCCGCCTCCCCGCTCTTCTTCTCCGTCCCTCACTGCCCCTCTCCGGTGGTGAGAGATTGAAGGCCCAGGGACGATGAAAACGAGCGGGAGTAGGGGCGGGGCCATGGGCCATAGACGAAAGATCGACAAAAGCAAAGGCCTCCTTGATGGGGTGCGAGCAAATGGGGTCGGAAGATTGCACCAGATCGCTGATGTATCGCCAATGCATCGGCGATGCACCGGCGGCGTCGGCGTGGCGAAATCGGGCTCCTCATCGACCCGCATCGCTGGTGCATCGGCGATACTGCGCGATCCTCTGACACGATCTACTAGGTACCCATTCTGGGAGGCCTAAATCCTCTCCGTCCCCGACTGCCCCTCTGGTGGTAAGAGATGGAAGGCCCAGGGACGATGAAAGCGGGAAGGGGGGAGGGGCGCAACGAGAAAGGGAGGAGAGGGCGCGAAACCGGGCTCCGCATCGATCCGCATCACCGATGCTTTGGCGATGCGGCGCGGTCGCCCGATCCCATCTACTCGGACCCCACCTGGGAAGCCTATAGAGAGAGAGGGACAGAGACAGAGTAGAGACACATATCAGCAGCAGCTCCGCCCGCTCCACAGGCCTCTCGGGAGGTTCAAAGCTGTGGCCCTGAGAGGTGAGGCTGCAAGGATACTTATGATGAAGAGAAACAACATAAACCTGACATTTGTTTTGAGGTCCGCGAAAACTTGGATCGGCGCTGGAGCACCCTACCTGGCGCGGGCTCCAGCGCCGATCCGAGAAACCCGCGAGGACCTCCAAAGGTTTATGTTTTCGTTTGTTCCCCGAGAGAGGGAGAGAGAGAGAGAGAGGGAGGGAGAGGGAGAGAGAGAGAGAAAGAAAGAAAGAAAGAGAGAGAGAGAAGGCTACACATAAGAGCGGCCCTGGGCAGACATTACCTTCAACGCAGCTTTCGGGGGCCCCGAAAAAGGCCAAATCCAAGCGAGCCTGCCGGTGCTGGGGGGGACCCTGGGAGCCCACACCGAAGGTCACTCTGAAGAAAGGTGACTCGAGCGAGAACGAGAGAGAGAGAGAGAGAGATCGAAAGAATCGGGGAGACGAAAGGTGGGATAGGGACAAAAGTGGGGTTAGAGGAACATCGCTCGAAACGGCCCGTGTAGGAAGGACATGTGAGTATCCAGTTGGGTCCAAACCCACCTTGGGATATCACACCCCCCTATACGAACCCCCGAGAGAGAGAGAGAGAGAGAGAGCGAGAGAGAAACAAAAAGGGATAGAGAGAGGGAGAGAGAGAGAGAGAGAGAAACAACAAAAAAAACTACGAGGCCGAGCCAGTCCTCCGGGCTGCCGCAAGGCGGGGACAAGGACCGCTGCGCCGCCCGTGGCGGCGTCGGCGCGGAGGGGCAGCTCCCGCACGACTCGCTGCCCGCTGCGCGGGCCGCTGGCGAGGGCTCCTCCGGCGACGAGGCGCGGGCGGCCGCGGGCGGCGCGGGCTTCGCCACCGCTACGTCGAGCAAAAGGGAACCCTTAGCCCTGCCCCTGCCTGGCTGCTCGTGGGCGTCCAACAACTCCGCCCACTCCACCGGCCTGTCGGGGGGTTCAAAGCTAGGGCCCTGAGGGATGGGGCCGCAAGGGTTATTATAGAAACAAATCACAACCTTATAATTGATGAGGTCCGCGAAGATTCGGATCGGCGCTTGGCCCCCCCCCCTGAGTTTAAGGCTGGTCGGGGGGCCCAACCAAATGCTTCGCTTAAAGCGAAGCATGCGTCCAACCCTGTTGCATCGCATTAAAAACAAAACCAAAAACAGGAAGGAGCCACGTGATCGGCGATGATACATCTCAAGAATAAGCGGTGGAACCTTTTTTTGTCTCGATGTAAAGTAGCGGGCCGCCGTGCGGCCCGGTCAGATAGGTGGCTGGTCATTGGGCCAAAATGGCCGCGGACAAACGCTCGATACATCTCGCCTTTGCCCTTCCTCCTTCAGAATCGGGGGGAGAAAACGAAGCGTGAGTCCACTACCGACACTAGTCCACTACTGGCCTTACTCAGCAACACACATCTACTACACAAGACAGGCGGCAGCCGGCGGGCTCAACCTAAGCAAAATACCCCGAATCATACTAATCCTCAGGCGGTTCAGATGGTCTCGTCTGGCCCGCCCTGTAAGGAGTGTGTCGTTTCAAATCGTGTTTGAAGGATTGTACTCCTCCCATGACTTGCAGGAGCATGTCTCAGGCGCTGTTCCCCTCGGCGTGACCATCCGCAGTCATATCGCGAGTGTCGCACCACTGGGCACAATGCACGAGACCGCGCTCCACCACTTGCCGTATCCAACTGGCGTGACCCAAAAGTGTACATTAAGTCGGGTTCTTCAGGTCTTGGTTGGCAAGGTCTTGAAGACGGATTCGGCATCAATGGTCAATGTGGCATTAATGCTCAGGCCGCCCATCTCAAGTATATCCTTCAGTCGAGTGGGTGCCAGCGGCCCTGCGTGGAGTTCGCGCAGGGTGACAATCGTGGGATAGCAGTCCTCCGAGTTGTGGGCTGCTGCTACTGCTTCAGCTGAGAAGCTCGAGCGGACTTGCAGGCGGTGATAATTGCAGCGCGCGTCAGCAAGATGGACGACGGGCGCGCCAGCACGCGTGCGTTCACGCTAGCAGGTTTGCCTCGCGAATACCATGGCATCTGACTTCGTCGCCGGCATCGCCTTTCAAGCGACGGTAGCCAGCGTCGCTGTGCAGATCGACCTCGCCCGTTGGTGTCATCGCTTGAAAGGCGATCTTCTTAAGGCAGGCGCGGCTTCCTTGCAATCGCGCCATGCCGTCGCCCTTGCACGCTGGTCGGTTCATGGCCGCGCCGCGGCGATGCAGCGCGCGCCATGGACCGCGCGCGCGCGGCAAGGGCGCAACCCAAAGCGCCTCTGAGGCTGACAAACATACCAGCGACCATCTGCGACGCCTTAGCCCCAGCATCTGCGCCCGTGAGCTCACGGCGCTGGATGGGGCGAAGCTGTTCGATGGATTCGTCATGGTCAAGAGTAAAATCGCCGTCGCTGTCCTCAGCACAGATGGCGCGCGTGTGTTTGTTGAATTTATATGCCGCAAGGATCTCCCCAACGCGCTCGAAGCACTTGTCGACGGCGCCCCCGGCGCCGGCAATGCACATCATCATCATGCTTGGCAATGAGAAGATCAGAGCTCGCCACGAAATCTTCGTCGCAAGACGTGGGTCTGAGTCCAAAGCCCCCCATGGTCTTCCTGGGCTTCAGTGAGAAGGCCCTCGGTGCATCTGTGGTGCCAGCGCCTGGTTCAAGGCGCTGTAGACAGTGTCTTGACTCATCGTGGCGCTCGACTCCTGGGGGGGATCTGAACGCTGATGCTGAACCAAGTGGCGACGTGAGACGCGCCGCGCGTTCCTTCTCACCGGTCGCTTTAGCGAGCTCCTGATACGTTCGCCCCTTCAGGGAGGCCATGTTGACGTCAAGAGAAGCGATGATCCACTGCTTCCCGCATGCTACCGCGCCGGCTAGCAATCGCTGGCTTGGCCGCCGCGCCTTTCCTGAGAATGTTTCTACGTCGCGCGCGTTCTCATGGCGCGTTCCATCTCGCCCTTTTCGTTCTGGACGAACTGCAATGCATGCGCGTCTCTCGAAGTCGCGATGGTTGACGCCTTGGGTACGTCGTGTAATTTGACATGCGCATTGTCAATCCATATATTGACTTCAGTAAATAAGGCTTTTCGACACCTTGACCAGATTCGCCTGAATGTCTGATTTCGCGAGAAGATCATCCTCCTTGACGACTGCAGCTCGTTTGTCTGGAGCGGCCACATATACTCGCATCGTAGTGACTCGGTCGAAATCCAATATCTTATGTTGTTGTTCGGATACGACGATCTTCGAGACTTCTGCCATAATGCAGAATTCTACAGATTGTCCGTGCTCGTCGGAGCCCAATCCGTAACCGCAATCTTCGCCCGTGGAACACACTTGGACATGATGTGTCTCAAGTGTGTAAATGTCCTGTGGGTTACCCCACGCATGCAAGTGCCCTTGCTGTTCTTCAGCTATTGTGAACAGCGCACTGTTACCAGACAGCATACGTGTGGGTACATTATAGAGTTCTTCTACTGGAGTTGCCTCCAGCAGCTCTTTTTCGCCCTGTAGTTCCGCATGCCACGCTACCATAATGCGTGCCTCGAGGTCCGCCTCTGATTCCTCATATATTGTGGGAAACCGTCCGTCTTCCTGTGGCGGTTCGGCTTCTGGGGCCTCCATGGCATCGCTGCCTTTCGTTGGCATGTCTGCCGTCTCATCGAAAATCGCCATGTCTTGATCGAGGCCCGCTTGAGGTTTGGTGGACTTCAGCAATGGATGATTCTAGCGCGTGCAGATCCAGTCATGTATTGAATGTGTACTGCAGTATCCTTCAGCTTCATAGTAATGGAATATGGGGTTCACGTCGTTGTTATGGTGCACCAGCGTGCAACTGCCAGCTTACGTTACAAAAGGAAACTTATGCATGCTCTTAGCTAAACTAACAGAAACAATGTTTTCGACGCGGAAGAAGTTCCAGATAAGGCACTGGAGAGCCAAGTGTACCTTCGGAGATAGTCGGCTCGCGATCGTCATCTGGGGTATACTATTTTTGGTCGGGAGGTATCCGAGGTTCATAGCAGGTCGCCCCGCAAGTAGACTGGCTACGAATGCTGTCGCAATCCGAAATGCTGCGCTGTCCGAGACAATCTCTTAAGTGATCAGAGCCTCGATGTGCAGCGAGTCTCTTGCATCGCCGTACTGGACTTGTACATCGCGATTTCCCAACTCTTACGATGACCTGACCCCTGCCAGGATCTTTCCGCACGACCGGGAAGGGTCCGCTCCAGCAACTCCCAAGTCGTTTTTCGTAGTTGTGGGGCAATGGTAGTCAACCGGATCTCCTTGGTCGAAATAGTGCTGACAAGTGATGGTCGCCTCAGTCCGTAGTGCACGGCTTGTCTTTGCTGGTGTCATAGCCTCAATGCCTACCCGGCGGATAATCTGTTCTCGAGTATGATCGGATGTCCCCGTCTGTTGTTCGTGACCTAGAACAGGCAAGCCCAGTAATTGCTGGTTGTTGGCCGAACAGTGCGTTGCATGGAGATGCCTCGCTGAACAAGGTAAACGCTCTTGTGGCAAACAGAACCTCATGCAATAGTCGGGTGAGCACAATTGGTATGTCGAACCTGCCGGGTCCAGCCTCCATGACGTGAAGTGAGAGTCGTAGCATGTCAGTTCTGGCTTCACTGGTAGTAGCGCGTTGTCCACGCGCGCGTATCCGTAGCTCAGCGCCCTATGCCTTGAGGGCTGCCTTTGCGGCGCCATTATTGAGAGCACCCTGTCGGTCAGAGTATAGTACTTTGGCAGGTCCGAATTGCATCCAGCACCGATGGTACGCATCTAGGATGCTGGTCATCGTATTGTCCGGTATCTCGGTTCAAGCACCGAATCGAATGCAGCGATCACTTATGCGAAATACCTTGTGCTCCTGGTTGTACGACATCAGGTCGCATTCGACCTCATCATTGAGTGCGCCAAGTAGCGCGGTAGAGGACACGATCGCATGCCCAAGCTCTTCCCCAGCCCTGCACGCCCAGCATGTGTCACAGACGCCTTATCACGCTTAGCCTCACAATCCAGACCAACCTTGGTTAGGATGAGTCTCATCTTAGGCTCCTTCGCGTGAAGCCATCGCACGTGTAGTTTTCGCAACTCGCGGTTTACCACGCTTGGGTCAAAGCTGCGCAGGTTCTGCACGCTGATCTGCACGTCGAACCTTTTTCAGTCTGGAAACCTTGGACGGGCAGCAGGGTCACGCGCAGGTGGAGGTGGAGGTGGATCACCTCCCTGTTGTCGCCCACGTCTGGCTACTACTTGTGGTGGTCGTCTGTGGTCGTCCGAGCTGCCGGCGCCACTGGGCTCCGCAGCATGTCTGCCTACTGCAATGTCGTGGCTGCTGGCGCCTGCAGTCGGCCCAGCTCTGAAGCCAGGCTGCGGAGATCGTAGCCGCGCAACTTTTTTGGCGGCTGGCGCGTCGGAAGCAGCTGCCGCCGCCGGCGGTGATGCGTCGGAAGCAGCTGCCGCCGCAGGTGGCGGGGCTGCCGGTTCAGCAGAGGCTGGAGGGCCCTGCCTGCGGTTGTCAAGCAGCTTCCACGGTCTGGCAAATTCACAAATGCCAGGTTTCAGTAAGTGGGCAGGCTTAGCATTGCCAGTTCTCTTGGCAGTTTGGACAGTCCCAATAATAATCACCATTGTCGTACCACCTACAGTGTTTAGGGTTGCTGCTGTGTGATGCGCAGTGCATGTTGACATTGCCAGCACACGCAGGGAACCCCCATCTCCCTGACGGTGGTTGCACGATACGTTCGTCAGGGCGTCGACAGGTCGGCGGGTCATCCAAGTCGAATCCGCGCACGTTCGTGACAAGAACAGGTGACGCATGAGGGTGGTCGTGAAAGGGATCGCGGCTGACCGCGAACATGTCATCCGCAATTTGAACTGCCTCAACGCAGAGGGATGGCATCTTCGGAATATACTGTGCTGCCT